GGGGAGGGGTGGCTGTTCCGTAGATACAGTGATACGAAACATTCCACCGCCTTTTAAATAGATTTACCTCACTATAACAACCATAAGCTTGAGCTTCGATATGATAAATCAAGATGAAAAAGGAGTAGGAGGTCAATGGACCAATTTCAAGCTGCGCGCCACCCAGCTCATGTTAAAGGGTCATAGCGTCACATATGTTCATTACCGCCCACACCACCAGTATCCTCAGGCACTTGTGAATTTTTACCAATCATTTCAACGAGTTTCTGTAGAGTGAAGGTATTAGGTACGTAAGTCGTGGTGAGGGGAATATTTTCTCCCACGGAATTCTTTTTACAAGGAAAACAAAACAACATTTCAGAGGAAGCGATAAAGTTAAGAAGGAAATCCAAGGGTGATCTGGCGCTCATACACCTACACGAAGGAGAAAAAAAAACCAGATGATACACAGAGTCCTGGAACATCTACCGTTAGGTATGCTAATACTGTACAGTTATGAGATGCCTACTTGATGACAGACATACACACGGGCAACTTAACTAATAGCCGGGGTGTAGAACCTGTGTTATGATGACGCCCCTGGGTCTACCAAGAGTGAGGAAGAGTATTTTGTGGGGACAACACCTCGCTGTATACGTGAAAAAATTACTTGGGTTGAAAACACACAGTGGCGGGGGAAGGGGGGAGGGGGGATTCTCTCTTCAAAAGTAAAGGGAACACCTGCTCTTTGGGGAAATAAAAAAGGGAGGGAGGGGGAGATAAGCATCACCACTACAGTCGATTTTTTCGTTATGTCCAAGATTGATTGCCAAATAATTCGCCATTTCTTGAGAGGAAGGGGGATGTGGGGGGGGAAGGAGATAGTACTCACTCTTATCTCATACTGCTATTTTCTGGGGAGGGGAGGGGAGGGGAGAGGGAGGGGGGGGGAAGAAAGAGGGGAGTGAAAACGAATCTTATCTTTTCTTTTTCCGAAAATGATCCGCCATGGCCGTACTCTAAAAAGCTGGTCTGCAGCGTGGACCTGAATACATCTCTACTAAATCAACACGACACCTGCACATTTAGCTCATTTATATGGACTATAACACCTGGATAAACACATGTTAGGTTACTTACGTATATCCTGATTCTACTTCACGTCACCCTTGCTATTGGTTGCTTCTTCTTCAACCTGACGAAGGAAGGGAACAAGTGTCATAAGAATCATTCACAAGGATATAACAAAAAAATAAAGATAAAATGCTAAAAAAAACAAAGTAAAAAAGCAAGACGTAATGTCATTTTGAGTCAACATTTGCCACCGAGAAACTCACAGTCGAAGAAGCTACCCCACGCAAGACTAATACACAGGACATTAGTGTCAAAATAATCGATCTCTTCTTACAACTTCACATCCATTAAAGTCGGCTCTCACTGGTCGAAATATCTTACTGTTAACTATCGTTGTTTACCTACACTGTCCAGGGACTGTATATGGCAAAGGGTATACCTACAGGGTCTATTCATATGTTGAACTGTATACCTGTATTGTTAATATACATGTCAAACCTCTATACATGTGAACACCTCTATAGCATATGGGACACTCAAGTATTGCAAATTGACGGAGGCTGTGTTTCTGTCTGTTGGGGAGCGGAAGAGGTAGGGGAGGAAGGGGAAGAGTAGGAGGGAGGAGGAGAGAATAGAGGAGAGAGAACGAGGGAATTAGGATAACGAGGAAAAGGGAGTAGGAGGGGTGGAGGAGGGTGGAAGAGAAGGAAGGGAGGAGGGAAAAGGAGGGTAGGAGATGAGGGAGAAGAAAGAGGGGAGGAGGTGGGGGAGAAGTGTAGGGGTTGGAGACTCATAGAAGGAATATTGAGTCAGTTGGAGAGAGATAAAGGAGGGAGGGAAGGTGTGAGGTGCCAGGTGAGGGCAGGAAGGTGAGGGGTGCCGGGTGAGAACAAGGTGTGAAGTGCCGGGTGAGGACAGATGTATGAGGGATGAAGGTGGATGAAAAAGGCAAGTAGTGGATGAGAGAGAGAGAGAGAGAGAGGTGTGTATTTGCATATGTTATGGTAACAGGTGTGTGTGTGTGTGTGTGGCGATGCACACCTGGGGCTGCCTGGGCCACCCCTCACCACCACCACCAGCTCAGCTGTGAGGCTTCCTACATGTCTGACGCCTCACTCATGATATTACTAAAAATTACCAAAAATACGCCAAATTTTATTAGAAAAGTGTAATAATAATAATAATATATATCTTTACTATAAATATGCAGGTGTGGATAGAGAGAGAGAGAGAGAGAGAGAAGGGGTGGTAACCTTACGAAGCAACAGGTTACACTTTAAAGGGCTCAGGTAGGCCACTCAATTTTAAAGGTTCGGGAAGGAGATAAATGCATCTATATTAAAGGCTAAGGAGTTTGTATTTCTTTTATCGTTCAGCTATTTTAAGCCTTACCCTCTACTTTTATATATATTACATGCTACTCTTTCCTCCAGGGACCACACTATTATCGTAAGCTGGACAAATACAAAATATAAGTATATTGGTCTCCGTTAACTAATTATAAATAAAACCACAAAAATTATATCGAAATCCACAGAACAAGTGGTTAGTCCCATATAATTTCTTGACACTTTCATATTGACCTTATAAATTAAATTTTTGTTTTATTACTTCTCTCTGTTCAAGGGCGTCTATATTTATCATTCGAATTTTGCCCTTTCTGAATATGCAAAGTTAATCTTGTATAAGTATCCCATTCATAATATTGTTATTTTTTTTATTGTCTGTGGGTACTCCTACAGGCCCAGAAAAGTTTTACGTTTTCTCTTAAGCTGTAATGTAAGAATTAGAAAACGCTAGCCAATGTTAACCTGCCTTTTAGCGTAGACAATAAGAAGTTTAGATGAAATTATTGAAACAGCATAATGTGTTGTCTAATGGTAGACCCTGCTGCCATATGGCAACACGAAAATTGTGACCAAGTCCCAGGTTGCTGATCTGACTCTGTCTCATTTACACACAATTGCTTGGTCTCAATTGTTTCTCTTACTATTGACAACACAACATACATATAATGTTTCTCACTTTTGATTTTTTTTTCATTTTTGTATTTATTTATGGTTCTTTGTTATTATTACTGTATTATTATATTTTTTTTTTTATTTTGTATTTTATATTATAATTTTATTTACTATGAATTATTATTATTATAATTATTATTATTATTATTATTATTACCCCCCAGGCCCCGATGTGGGTTAGTGACCTGTGCCCGGGTGGGCTAATTCCCGTAAAAATAAAAATAAATCAAATTCACAATGGTTCAATATCACAAACCATAAAGTCAAACAGTAATACGATTCAATGGTTTTTACTTTTATTCTCTTCCGCAGTGAAATAGATTAATGTATATCAACTCCACTGAAAAATATGTATACACAGTACTTGAAATATAAAAGTAAAAAACAAAAACAACTGATAATCCTGGCGACATTTTCATATGTTCTTACTAACACCATGTTACGTGTACTATCCCAGAGGATACCAAATGCTTCATAATACCTCCTCGAGATAAATGTACAGCATATATCAGGTGCCACCAAGAGAACTCAGGCTCTCAATTGGCTCAGTAATGTTAAAATTGTATTTAATATCCATTCTGTATCTGTTTTTTTCTAGCTCAATAAACTGTTTCGATAGCAATATATAAGTGAGTTAGCCACTTGGGCGGTCAGTCACGTCTCTGTTACCCAGTATTGCAAGTATTGGGAGGGCACTGGCTCCTGAATGTATTCTGAACATGCTCCAGTGTTGGTCAAGTCTGATGTTGAAAGAGTTCACTATTCTCACTCCGAAAAAGTTTGCCTTCAGTTTTCTGGTCTTGTGGGACTGACGTCCACCAGCTCTAGGCATGGACAATCGACTGAGTAGTACCCTTTGAGATGTTTATACACCTTAATTTACCACCCCTTGCCCGTCTGTAGTATAAGCTAGGCAGTTGCAGGCGCTCTCATCTCTTTGGATAACGGAGGTGCCGAAGTTCAGGCACTAGACTGGTGGTCCTCCTTTGGACCACTGACAGTCCCTAGCATATCTAGGGGACCAGACAGGGTGACAATACTCCAGGCGGAGAAGTACCACACTCTTGAAGAGCGTTACAAGGGACAGTGTCTAGAGATCTGAACACCCTCTTTATAAGACCTACTAGTTTAGTTGCTCGATTCACCTTCTCATGGTCCGAGAACTTCAGTTCATTGTCACCATAAACACCCAGGTCCTTTCAGTATTTGGTCTTTATTAATGCAGTTTGGGGAGACATACAGCACTTCCCCCAAAATCCCCAGTACCAAACTGTTTACTGTTTATGCAACGTTCCCCCTGCCACCACCTACGATTTTCCTGCGTCACCTACCATGCCTCTGTTGTGGTACACGTATATGGGTCGATAATATTTTATTGTTGTTTTATTGTAGATGGGGAAGTGCCTTGATAATTCAGGATTTGGGATAATTCGGCAAGGCCAGAGCCCCATTGGTGCCGAGTTATCAAAGATTTACTGTACATTGTTTCTGATCATGATAATTAACTCAAAAGTGAATTCATAGTACCTGTATTGTACTTAACAGAAATTTGATTGGAGATTTTCATTCCACATAGCAATAGGAACAAATCTTAAATTGTAATGATACTGTACCAATTATAAAATATCAGGGATTAAACTACATAGTTGTACAGTACTGTATTCCTGAAACTTTTGATGGGTGTAGTGATCAATCCCAATTTTATATTATCAGAAGATATATTTTCAGCAGCCAATCATTGCATTTGTTCATTACTTCAAACCTCTTAACACTATTATGATAAAAGGTAACCATCAGGCTTAACAGTTTAATTATTCATATAACTAGCACTTAAACCTCATTCGATATTTCTAATTTGTGCAATGTAATTCTTCAAAGTTTTCTTATATTTTGTATCTTGAAATAAGGAAACAAGAAAGAATATACTGTACAGCACAACATGAAAATTTTTTATTATGTGATTTTATAATGAATTTCAGAGAGGTCTCGCAATTTCTGTGCAGCCTGTTCTGCTGTCAAGTCACGTTGAGCCTGAGCCAGCATCTCATAGCCCACCATAAACTTCTTAACAGTGGCTGAGCGTAACAGAGGTGGGTAATAACAGCCATGAAACACCCAGTGCTTCTCCTCATTCTCCAGCCGTGGACCAGTTGGTGCCCCTGAGAATTAAGTACCATTTAAAATCTTTCTCACTCTAAGACGGGTAAACCTGCCAGGGCCAAAGCATAAGGCAATGCATTATCTGAGTAAAAAAAGAATCTGAATGATGTACACAGCTTTAGCCTCAGTGTTTTGTGTAAACCAAGTTTTTTTTTATTATATCATTTAATTCAAATCAGACTTATATTATTTATTAGATGCACTTCAATTTTTTTTTCATGTTCAAGATACACTGAAACAAGTAAAAAAGATCCTTTTCATTAACATTAGTTTCTGTAGCACTAATAACATGAAATAACTGAAGCAAACTATAGTATTAGCTATTTGAACAGCTAAATCTTCTTCAAGGTTGGATTCAAACTGTGAAGTTGTGTAAGACTGCGAATCTGGCTAAGTGAACCGATACGTATCATTGTTCTTGTGTGCTTCTTCATTTATTGACTGTTTCTCTTTATTCCCGTAAGTGAACATACTTTTAGGCGTACCAGTATTCATTTATCCATATCTATACATACAATGCATTTTGATGAATATCAGCGACACTTTTTTCCTTAAAAAAAAAAATGGCCAAAGTGGGGGTGCAGCTAACATCAGAGGCTTACTTTAGTAACACCTCAAAAATACCTGTAAGTACCGTATTACCATAATTCCTTGTACGTGCTGGTACTGCCTATAACCAGTCTCATCCACCATTACTACCTCACCTAAGTCAAAATTACCCTCAGGACCACCATTAATATCATCCATCTGCATGTCATCTACCTGTGAGTTTGTTTACAAGAATGAAGTTCAGTGATCCATGCTTACTGTGTCTGAAACCTTTACAGTAGTAATTAGACATTGAATCATTTACTGATATTAATTTAACCCTAATTGTTTTTTCATAATAAAGAGATTATTATTTGTTTGATAAATATAAGAAGGTAAATGTGTAAATCTCTGTACAGTAGATGTAGTTTTAAAAGATGAATACAGTACTGTACAGTATACGTTCCCATTACCGAGGTACAATACTTTTCATTTGTAATTTATCATGTCCAGATGTCCTTAAATGTGTTCTAGTAGAAGTGGTATGGTTATGTAACCGAAGGTGTAATCTGGGCTGGGGGTTCAGTCCTGTTAAATTTTGGTACACTTAAGTTAATTTCACTTCATCGAATCCAAGCCTGGCTAACACCGGGTGTCCCAGTTGGTTCACTAATACTGTACTGTTTTTGCAACATTTCTTCTCAAACCCATGTTATCTGCAAGCAACAGCTCACTCACCACCCATTTGCATTTTGTATCTCTACCAATACTAAGTTTGGTTAAAAGTTGCTGCTATTTATTTGAGGTACAGTGTCAAGTTCTGAAGTCTGCCCTCTGCCTCAGAACCAACCCCAATCCCCGTGTACCCAGCCATCTCTTCTACTAAGTAAGAGTTAAAAAACCTAATATTATTGATATTTCTCTTAAATATTAATTGTGTGTGCATACCATCATAAAATTAAGGTGTTATTTTTACTACAACATACTATTGTGTTGGAAAAAGTGTAGTTTGGGGGTCGGCCCAGTCTCTATTTCAATTAATCCCATATGTTCTGTTACAGTCGGCCCTTAACATACGCGGGTTTAGCATACACGGATTTGCAAATACGCGGATTGCCCCGCCGGAGGAATATTCTGTACATTGAAGTACATTCAAATCGCGCGCGGCACCACACACTGCACACCGCCCCCCGCCACCCCACACACACACACACACGCATCGCGCGTCACGCCACCCCGCGCTCCCTCACTCAGTCAGTCTCGCTGTAACCACGCTTGTGTTGACATCAGCATTGTATGTCGACCATGATTTTTTGACCAAAAAATCGTTAATTTATGATATTCCTTGTTTATAGGTCGACCCAAGTTTTTGAGGGTAATGGAACAACAAAACCATCAGTAAAAACACTCTACGTCCTATAAACTGAGGCTCGCTGTGCCTGAAACACCGAGTGCCGAAGGCAAATTGTTTACCATTTATTATTACGACACTTTACACTGAAACGCGGGTAGTTTCAACAAAAATATTGTATATTTCCATTCAAGTATTTATTTAAGTCAATTTGGAGGGAATATTATTGTAATACAACAGTTTTTTAACTGAAAACCATTCGAAAAGCGATTATGGTAACATCTTTGAACGAAAGAATGCGAAAGTCATTGTTTTCGTCATGATTTTATCCCACTTTCCACTGTAATACGTACGTCATTTCAGCAAAAATATTACATTTCCATATTTATTTCTGAGAATATATTCATTGAATCACAGTTAAGGTAAAATACACTTGTGATGTAATATTTTAATGAAAATACCCGGTATTTAGAAATACGGTATCGTAGTTTTCTTTTGTTTCAAATTTAATTAACAAAGATTGATGTTTCAAATGTAATGAACAAAAATTTATGTACAGTATCTATAAATAAACTTTAAAAAATGAATACTTTATGTTTTACATCGTCCTGTGCTACCATACCATGGATTTGGCTACTTTGGGCTTGCTATGATGACGCAAGAGATCTGCCCTGGCAACTGTACCGACACTCACAGCGGGCGGTGCGTTGGTGCGTCGTTTCCATTGTTTACTGGTAGTTACTGGTAAATATTTTTCAACCTAACGAAACTATTACCCGTATAGAGGTCGACCCCCAACTTTTTGCCCAAAAATTTGGTCTTAAGAACTGAACCACAACAAGTATATATGGTAAATATGACATGGGGGCCAGGGTTTTTTTAGGGGGGCAAAAAGACGGATTTTTTAACATTCACTGGTATCTCTGCCTGACCCTGCATGTTAAGAAGGTTCCACTGTATTTCTGCTTAGCTCGTTTCACGTTGGACCTCCACGGTCTCAATTGACCCAGTGAGATGAAGACTATACTGTATGTATGTATGTATATATATATATATATATATATATATATATATATATATATATATATATATATATATATATATACAAACTATATATATATATATATATATATATATATATATATATATATATATATATATATATATATATATATATATATATATATATATATATATATATATACATCCATATCTAAATATATATATATATATATATATATATATATATATATATATATATATATATATATATATATATATATATATATATATATATATATATATATATATATATATATATATATATATATATATATATATATATATATATATATATATATATATATTAAAGACTCCATTAACGAACTCAATCCGCTCCAGAAGGTCGTTCGTTAACCGAAAGTTCATAACTCGAAACCATTGTTTCAATGGGTTTTTGGGTACTGGTTCCAGCTCACCTAAAATTTTAAATTCAACAAAATGGTAGAAAAGTTCACTTACTTGAGGTGTGTATGTAGAAGGCCCTGGATGATGATGATGATGATGGATTTAGAATGGGGGGAGGAAAGAAGAAGAGAAGGCATTGGGTGGAAGAAGTCACCCCATGGCGCCATTTCACCTATAAAATTTAGCTCTCTGGTGTAATTCAAGATTATTTTTCTTTTAAATCAACACTGCACTGCATTATATATTGTCAATATGTAAAATATATTTCAAAATGACCAATAATTTGCTTGGAAACACAGAAAAAAAGCGTTTAGTTGAAGAGTCTCAAGCAAGATGTTACCTCCAGTGAAAACAGAGAGAGAGACTAACTCCTGTTTGCTGTGTTAAGAGGCTGGATGCCGCATTAAACTAGTCACTTTTACCTTCAATTATGTTCAATAATTGTTAAAATGACTAAAAATTAAATATTAAACTTTTAAAATTATTGAATAGTATATACTTCTTGATATTTACTAAAATATTAAGGAATTGCCCTAGAACCATTAATGTATTGGAGTGACTGATACTAAAGCTGGTTGTTCGCCAGTGCAAGCGAAAACATGTTGAGGTTTTTGTAAGAACTGTTAACCGAATTTTTTTGTTAACTGAATTGAAGATCCTTATGGAAGGTAGATCGTTAATCGAAATTACGTTAACCGGTAGTGCTTCGTTAAACGAGGGTCACTGTATATATATTTAAGAGAAATAGAGAAATACAGTCATAGTTAATGTCCATTCAAATAATGGACTCAACTCCTCCCCTCTCAGCACTACACAGTCAAGTTGAGATGGCTCGGCCTGTCCCTCCTCTCCACCCCCCACCAACCGGCCCCAAGGAGATGTGTGATAACCTCAAACTAAAGTTAGAAATATAATTGACATTGCTGGATTCCTTGTAAGACCAGGAATATTTTAACATAAATGTCATATATTTTACAATAAAGATAACATAGGTAATTTAGAGAAAAATTTTATCTAAAAAATTGTAAGTTTAAAGCAAAATATATGATGTTTATATTCAAAAATGATCGTCAAATTATAAGAATTCCAGCAATGTAAATTATATTCTGACCGGTAAATTTGTATGAATTTTATGAGCTAAAAAACAAATATCTTCAGTTAATAAAAAAATAATCTTCAATGACACTATCTGTCAATTAAAACACTTAATTTTGCCTCTTCCAACCGCTGTCAGTCCCAACCTCCCCCCACCTCACCAATCCTCCCTTCCAGAGTTTTTAACATTTAGTATTAAATAATACCTCAGATTAAAAGTTAGATAATATAATTGACATTGCCGGATTCCCTTGTAAGATTAGAATATTTCGAATATAAATGTCATATATTTTTACCAAAAGATACCATAGTTACCTTAGAGAAAAAAATTTTATCTAAAAATTGTAGTTTAAAGCAAAATATACATGTTTATATTCAAATGATCAAATTATAAGAATCTTGGTAATGTAAATTATATTCTGATTTGCATCGATAAATTTATGAGCCAAAACAAATATCTTCAGTTAATAAAAAAATAATAATTTTCTCACAGGGCAACAGATGGTCGGTTGGCTCCCTCCCCACCCCCACCAACCGTCCCAAGAGATGTGGGATAAATCCACTAATTTTAATAAATAATAATTCTCAAACTAAAGTTAGATAATATAATTGACATTGCTGGGATTCCTAAGATCAGGGAATATTTTGAATATAAATGTCATATATTTTGCGCTAAAAAAGATACCATAAGCTACCTAGAGAAAAATTTTGTGACCTAAAAATTGTGTTTAAAGCAAAATATATGATGTTTATATTCAAAAACATCACTCAAATTATAAGAATTCCAGCAATGTAAATTATATTCTGCCTGGTAATTTGTAAGTGAATTTTTATGAGCTAAAACAGGCAGTCAAAGGGTGGCGGGTGGGGCAAATTAAAAAATATGTCTCGACACCACCGCAGATATGCAGTGTGAAAAACCATATGAAAAAGCTCAGCTTTGCAAGGCACCGCGATAAAGTAAAACGTTGCTATGAAACTCAAGAAGGGGTAAATTGTATATATATATATATATATATATATATATATATATATATATATATATATATATATATATATATATATATATATATATATATATATATATATATATATATATATATATATATATATATATATATATATATATATATATATATATATATATATATATATATATATATATATATATATATATATATATATTTATATACATATTTATATATATGTATATATATATATATATTTATATATACATATATATACATACATACATGCCCTCGTTAACGCCCTCAATCAAGAAAGTCCAATGATATAATGTCTGCGTCTCTAAAAAAATCGTGACGCCTGCTGGACTACCAATCAGCGACTCTGAGGGAGACACGATGATCCTCCCATACTGGCCAGATATGTTAAAGGAATATGCTTCCTATCTTAGGCTATTTTAAACATTTGCCTCAAGTATAATACCGTTAACCTACATCTATTATTGAGGATAAAATCTTTCACCTACAAAATTGACAATAACACATTTGCTGTAATCAGACATATCTATTAGTCTTCAACAATTGTAAACCCCAGCTGCAATTGGGGAAGCCGCTGCAATTTCAAATTCTGTGGCATTTCTAAGTATAGCAAGTCTCTGGTGCACCTCTAAGATTAAGAGAGAAAAACGGAGGACCCAGGCTGCCCTGATGTGAGAGAAAACGGACTCAGATGATGGGGGACCAAATAAAAAAGCATAGTACATGTTTTGTGGACTACAGTATTAAGCCGCATCTTTTCATCATCACTTCTTTGTAATAAACCTAACCATGCCTATGTGTGTTTAAGGATATTTACCATAACATTATATATATATTTAGTGGGTATAAATGTTCATTAAATGGGAAATTTGGGGTTGTCTTGGGTGCTGAACCAATTAGAATAACCCATAGGTTCTATGTACTTTCGCTATCGGCGGGTCCCACTAGGCACTATAACCAAGGGATGACTGTACTGCGCCTGTATACTCAGACATCGGCCAGTTGTTTTGCGTTATGTGGTACAGGGCACCAATAACAGCACTAGATCCCGCTTCCTCTATCAAAGAATAAACAATTAAAATTTAAATTGAAAAAAAAATTCAAATAATGGGGACCTAGAAGAACCTGTAAATGGCCCGCCCTAGAGCGGCAATACAGTCACGCATGCATCGGTATACTTATAGATTGTGCTGCTAGTCGTGACGTTATCTAGTGAATTTAGTCAATATTGTACAGTAACAATGAGCTAAGTGCAAACCTGTATTGTACAT